GAGGCCAATTCATGGCACTGCTGGGGTAAGGGCTGTGGAAAATCAGCTAGTGTCTCTAAGAACATGCTTGAAACACAACCGTGAACTAAAAAAGCCTTTCAGTTTATCGATTTCAATTAAGAGTTGTTAACTTTCCGAAATAGTCATAAATCAGATCACAACAATAATGCAAACAAATCAGTGGCAAATCTGGACTGGCCTTTATCATCAGCGTTTATCACCCATCCACTCCTGTGTATGTGCCTCTCCTCCCCATGTCTTCAATGCAGTCCCAGCATTATACAGAACATAAATAAGTTACAGTGATAAAAGCTCTCTTAGTATGAGGGAAGGGAAAGCATCTGAGTAAAATGGTCGTAAAGTACCTCACTCAAGAAGCAGGTGAGTGTCCTGTTGGATGTTTTTCAGTTCATTGTTTGACAGTCATGAGAAATATTTACTGAAATTATGACTTCACTATTGCGTTAGGTAAGTGATAGATTCTGAGACATTACAAAATGTGACTCAAAAAAATGCACAATGAGCCAGTTAAAGGAGACCAGAATTGGAATTCTTTGCTCCTTACTAAGAGCTGCAGTTAGGAGGCAAGCGGCAGTATTTTGGACCGACTGGAGACGCTTGCGGGAGGACCGTCTAATGTACACATTTGGGTTACATTGTCCCTTGTATATATGTTTGACCAGAATTGGAATTCTTTGCTCCTTACTAAGAGCTCCAGTTAGGAGGCAAGCGCAGTATTTTGGACCAACTGGAGATGCTTGCGGGAGGCCCGTGTAATGTACACATTAGGGTTACATTGTCCCTTGTATATATGTTTATAAAAAAGTTACATTTTGCATGGGTATTTTTTAGTAATGGGCAAGTTTTGCATTTAAAATGCAGATAGGTCAAATAGCTCTCAGGGTCTGCAAGTTGTTCCTTCTGTGGTCATGTATGCACAGTTGACTTAGATCGGGCGATACGGTGGGGGGGTGCCAGGTTCTGGCGGTGTTTCGGAGGTACGACACCTGTTTGGCCATGTGCCAATTTTTTTTTTTTTTTTTTTTTTTTTAATCGATCCTCTTTGAGCACCTGCACTCCAAAGGTCTCTGCACACATCCCTACAGTGCAGCCAAGAGAAATGCTATGAAATGGAAGGAATGGAAAATATTTAATACAATTCCATGGAACAATTTTAAAAATTTGGCTTGTACATGTACAAAGGTCAGTGCTTCTGATGGTGTTTGTGCGAACAGAGAAGGCCTTGCTGACCCTTTTGTGCCACCACTGTAAAAGGTGTTAAAGAACAGTCTTGTTGTTGTTTTTGCACAGGGAGCTCCAAGAGGCACGCCAGGCTGCTCTGTCCCCGAAGAGCCCACTGCCTGGCTTGAAATTTCCTGGAAAGACAGGGTCACTGCCAAGGTCTGGGAGGAGGGTTGTGGGTAGAAAGACTGCACGGTCCATGAGCTTTGGTTGTCCAGGGTATGAAGTGTGATGGGAGGAAGCCTGATCCACAAGCTCATCCCGTTGTGTGCATACAACCGTTTTGCTGGTTCTGTAAATGATTGCAGTCAGTGGCAAGCACTATGCCAGAGTTCCTTGCTATTTTTGTTTTTAAACTGTGAATAAAAATTTTAAGGGTTTTATCCTTTTTTTTTTTTTTTTTTTTTTTTTAGGACTCTAGAATTGTGGCTGTAGTCTGAGTGGAGGGTTTTATGCGGGTTAGGGTTGTAGCGGTCAACCTTAGGCCAGAACTTTGAGAAGTTGCGCTTAGGGTCAGAATGTTGGGTGTTGGGGTTATGCTCAGGTTAAGATAAAGTTTGGGTTCGAGTTTGGGATTGGGTTTGGGGCCTAGGAGGATAGGGTTATAGGAGCCAATTTATGTTCAGAAATGTTAATGTTCGGGAATCAGGAATGGGATTATGGGTTTAGGTTTGTAGCAGTCACTTTTAGCCCCCCTAAATAATGTTAGGAGGTGATAGTTACAGTTATAGGGCTACATTCCTCGCGGTCAACCTTAGGCCAGAACTTTGAGAAGTTGCGCTTAGGGTCAGAATGTTGGGTGTTGGGGTTATGCTCAGGTTAAGATAAAGTTTGGGTTCGAGTTTGGGATTGGGTTTGGGGCCTAGGAGGATAGGGTTATAGCAGCCAATTTATGTTCAGAAATGTTAATGTTCGGGAATCAGGAATGGGATTATGGGTTTAGGTTTGTAGCAGTCACTTTTAGCCCCCCTAAATAATGTTAGGTGATAGTTAGAGTTATAGGGCTACATTCCTGTCCAGAGTTCCGCTTGCCTGTGAAATTCAGGCTTCTAAACCACTGTAATGATTACCGCATCCCTGAAGATGGCGACGTTGTATCGCTTTGGATTTGATATCAGCACAGCTTTTGAATAGACGATAAAGACCGTGAATCTCATTTTGTCACATTGATTATGTGGTAGAGAAATGCCAACATGTCATGTATGAAGTCACACAAGTTTAGGTATCTCACACATGAATGAAATATGTATATGGATGGTCTAAAAGTATGTGTTGTGGTGAGTAGTGGAAAATGTGTGCGTGCCCCTTTCGAAAAGATGGTGAAGTCACACAAGTTTAGGTATCTCACACATGAATAAATATGTATATGGATGGTCTAAATGTATGTGTTGTGGTGAGTAGTGGAAAATGTGTGCCTCTTGCAAAAAGATGAGACAGTTCATGGTGTGAATGGTGAACGGTATGTACAAAAAGTCCCTGACATTAAACAAGAGTCAGCATTGCTCACAGCACCTTTCTTAGAGTTACATCAGTAAAAAATGTTTTGTTTTGCCATCAAGTTTTGGATGTCACCTAAGAAAGGGGAGAAAGAAATCCGCTTTCAATATTTTGCAGGAATCTCATCAAATGGCGTCTCTGCGTTTTCAGAAATGCTTGTAAAAAGTGAGGTTTTGGCGAGCGCTGTGGAGGTTAGCTGCGTGGTCTGCACAGATGAGGCCCTCTGTCACGTTTCCGTCAAGTGCTCCGACGCTCCTCCCCGTTGATCTCGCACCAAACTTGCACATTCTCACCCAAAACAACACTCACTCCTGTTCTCACACACACACACACACACACACACACACACACACACACACACACACACACACACACATACACACACTAGTTTCATCATTTTGTCGGGTGATAAAGACAAGAAGCCGAGACTGAGGTCTCATTAGTGTGTGTAAGGGTGGTCTCACAATGACCTCGATACGTGCAGGGGTCAGCGACCTTCCTGTATGCGCACGAGGCCTTACCCCCCCCATAGAAGCTTGCCTAGCACGAGCGGCTCGCTGCTACGGGTCTGCAGCCGCCCGATAGAGGAGGCTTGAGAGGTGGCCATAAATCATGTTTTGATGTGCGTCCGCCGCCGTATCACAAGCTGTCACATGCTGTCAGCCTGCCTTGTTAGCGGCGCTATTCACAGCGGTAATGAGGAGCAGTGCAGCACGTGGCTTTTTTATGTCGACTTTGTCGTGAGAGTGCTTCACTCCTCCTGGAAGCACAATTTCACCACCGCTAATATTTAGCGGCGTTTGATTATTCGTTGCACAGTGCATTCCGAAAGTATTCACAGTACTTCAGTTTTTCTACATTTTGGAATAAATGTTATTTTTCACTTAGAATGAGACGCACAAATCCTCTCTGATAATGTATACATTTTTCTTGGTTTTATTAGTTTGGTTTTTTGTTTGGGCAAGTCAATTCAATGATAAGAAATGAAGAAATAACGCGGTTAAGTAAACCGAGAGTACGCTCATCAGATTAATACATTTGCAAAAATATCAACAACTTTTATGTTGTCATCATGGGGCTTTGTGTGCAGGATTTTGAGGGAAAGACTGGAAATAATCCATTTCGGAATAAAGCCGTAACATGAAACGTGTAAAAATTGAAGCACTGTGACAGCTTTACAGACGCGCTGTATTTTACTCGCAGGGATTAAGATCCCACCGAGTAGGAAACGCATTGTGTTGTGGGATCGCCATAAGCACAGAGGGGGTTGCACTTCTGACAAGTAAAATATAATAAAAATGCTAACCCCATAGTCAGAGAAAAGGAGGAAACTCTGGTTTCAAAGTGGGGAGGGCAGGAGGAAAAAAAATGGCGTATGTATAGTATGTGATGTTTTAGTCGGGACGTTTATATTATTGAGGTTTTTTTTTTTGTACTGACTGTCCAAATTAAAAACTTCAATCAATCCTAAATCATGAATTGTCATAACATAACAAGCTAAAGATTAACCTGCCCTTCTGACATTTTGTGTCAAAGTGAATTTTTGTCCATTCTTAAAAACAAAAAACATGCACCAATCAAACATTGTCACACGTCAATGTGTCTGGACTAATATGTCTGCCCCCACACGATACACACTCCATCCCATGTGCAAGTCTTCAATATCTGTTTGTTTTTTGTTTTTTTCTTTCACTATGTTTGCTGAGGGTTCTTTTTCCAAACCCATACTGCGCCCCTCCCTTATAGGAGCATAGTTTGTGGCTCTTTTTTTTTTTTCCTCCCTACCCCTTCCTTATCTTTTTCCTTTTCATCAAAGATTTCTTTCTTAGATGGTTCGTTACTGTTCAGTGAATTTCATTTCTGTCTTTTCTTATTTTGTGCAGTGACAATCAATTTGGATATTCTGGGTTCGTTGTGGGTTCAATATTGTAGATATCATATAAGCATAAATGTTACTCATTAAAAAAAAATTCTGATTAATCAGGTATTTGGATTTTTATTCTGCCAGATATCCGAATAGGCATCGGCCTAAAAAAAAAAAAAAATCCTTATTGGTCATGTTCTAAAAGTAAGAACTGTCCCTTAAATTGTTTGAAGTAGGATGACATAACCCTCCACGAAGTCATGACCTGCAATTAGCTTATAGCATGGTTTTGAACCTCTCCATGTAAAATACTGATTCACTCTGTTGTTCTGCAAAGCGAGAGACATGACTTGTCTTGTGTTTGTGTTTATTTCCCAATTGTGCATCTTCCTTTCAGAAATTAAGAAACAAAGGCCATAATGACTGTGCTAGCCCCGATCCCGAAGACTGTTTCGGGCACAGCCCCCTCACCGATGACCATTTCGGCAAACTAAGCGAAGAGAGCGATTTAATGTACAAGCGTTGCGGTGTAAGTACTTTTCTCCTGTCCCCTGCTGTTTTGTGTTGATGGCTGTTTCTATGTCGATGTTCACTGCAGGCGCTAAACAAGAAAGAACACAGAGGTTGCGATAGCCCGGACCCCGATGCCTCGTATGTCCTCACTCCTCACACTGAAGAAAAATATAAAAAAATTAATGAGGAGTTTGATAATATGATGAGAAATCATAAAATTGTAAGTACTGTTAAAAAAAAATAATATTTTTTTTTTTTGCTTGGCTTTGTGTGCCACAAAGGATTTTCTCTCTTAATTTATTTTGGATTGTTTTGTTCACTTAACTTTTTTTTGTCTTTTCGTTAACCTGCCCAAAATCTCTCTCTAAAAAGAATAACGCCTCCATTTCTGGATTTTTTGTATTGATTTATTCTGCAACTTATTTGCAAAGCACCTTGATAAGATCACATCATATTTGTCATGTTTTTACGGTCTTTCCAAATTGAGCAATTAGCTACACGAGGCCTGTGTGCATCTCGTAAAGGGGGCAGTGAATCTTCCTCCTGTTATGTTGTAGGTTGATGTGACTTTTTTTTAAGTTCGCAACCTTAAGAAAAGGTATTTTAATATCGAAAACACAATTTGAAACCATGTTTTAATGTTTTTTATTGATTTTTTTTTTCCACCCACTCATACAGTGTTTCTTGGGAGTATAAAGTGGCCTGTGTACACAGTGGGTAATTTCTGAAAATTGCTAAACCAAAAAAATTAATTGATGACAATTGAACACAAAGTAACATAAAATACAGTGAAATATAAAATATTTAGAATTTTCATGTTTTATTTTCCAAACACACCACATACATGGATATCTAGATATTTTATTTTATAGTAAGGATACAAGATTATGTAAAACTCATTTTTTGGTTGTCTGGATTTTTTATCAGTATGCTAAAAAAAATTCCTATTGATTTTCCTTGTCTATACTGTATATCGACTTACTTTTCTGATGTTTAAACATCCAGTAGGTCACATTGACCCATGACCATTTTACCTGTGTGGCGAACAAATAAACATAGCAAGAGGTTTAAACATGGAGCCCCTAAAACATTTTAGTAACATTATATTTGACCGATAATGACTGAATCTGTGTGATCTTATCACATTTCCTGAGAGTATACAGTATTCTCTTCCTGACATGAAGAGCACCAATTTGCCATTAACAAAAATCACAATAACGCGCCGACTGACCCACTGGATTCAGGCTGGAACGATTTCTTGTTTTGGTTTGTTTTCTTAATCACTGACACTTGCCTTTGTCATTGCCGCTCTGCAGTCAGCACGTGGTCACTCAATGCGTCACCATTTTCGGAGCTGTCACAATTCTTCTCTGCTATGTTGACAAATGCACGCACAGATGCTTCAAAAGGCAAAACCTGCACCCGTTGCACTGACCGCTGCAATGCCAAAGTGATCACCTGAATGCATGTTGTTTTTTGTTTTGTTTCTCCCGTGAATTGTCTGTTTAGATTAGCACTGAAATTTAATCAACTGCATTTACTCTTTGTAGTGTGTTTACAGCCTAAGCTGATTCATTCACTGAACAAATTCTGAGTTAGTGAATTTTTAGTGTCTTTTTTTGATCGTTAAATGTGTACAACGTTTTGGATTTTTAACGGTGGTCTTTTCTCATTTTTTTTTTTTGTTTGTACAACACCAGCAACTCTTTATTGTAGTCTTATTTTAATCTGCACAATTTTTTTTTTTTTTTACAGAAATCTTAGTTTCACCTACGCAAATATTTATTTAATTTTGACAAGCGCAACTTTGGACTTTTACAGCAGTCTGGTTTTTCCCTGTACAACTTTTTTTTTGTTTTTTTTTTTTTTTTTTGGTTTCGTTTTTTTGTTGTGGTTTTAATAACAGATGTCGCCTTTTATAACAGTCGTGTTGCTGGTCTTATTTTAACCAGCACTATTTTTTCTTAGGATTTTTATGGTTAGTCTTTGGTATGTTGTGCTCCAAGCTAACAGGATCTCTAATAATAGTGAAAAAAAACAATCCTTAAAATTGTTGAAAAAGATCACTGGTACAAGTGTTAAAAAAAAGGGGGGGGGGCGGGGGAGAAGGAAACATTTATGAGACACAAATTCACTACTCAGTGGTCAGCGGATGAATCATTCAGGGCTTAAGTGAATGTCTGACAAAATGTTTTGATATATCCTAGCATCCAATGACTGCCAAATACATTTTTGAACATACCTTGACTATACATGAATTGCAAATGATTGCTTCTGTTGCTCTGTTGTTCCTGTCACATGTACGCCAGGCTGTTTGATGAATCAGTGTCCTTTTATTAAAACAAACCCTCAAGGGGTAGCTCCCATTTGCCAATACCACGACGGCCACTGGTCATAATCATCAGCCCTTGGATTGCGTTAGTGTGTAATTGTCTGGTTGCGTGTGTTGCTGTCCCTCTCGCAGCCCACAGCGTTGCCTCAGCAGAACTTCTCCATGCATGTGGCCGTGCCCGTGTCCAACCCTAACGCCATGTACCAGCCGGGAGGCGTGACTCTGGGCAGCCAGAGTTTAGCGGCGGCCGCGGCCTCCCTCGGCGACAACGGAATGCTGTCCCCTCCGCAGGCCTCCTTGCATAGGAATGTGGGCTCCAGCGGAGGGCCCCAGAGGCCCACCAGCGCAGGTGAGTTGGTGGGCGCCGGCCCGTCGTCAAACACGCGGATGATCAAAGTGTCTCGTTCGATGCTGACACTTTTGTTGAATGACTTTTATGTATCTAAAACGGATTCTCGAGACGATTTGCATCCAGGACCACTTACAGGAGAGAATTCTTCAACCCATCACAATCAGAAGGTCTCCATAGCAACCATGTGTACTCCTAGTAATTTAAAAATACATTCTTACAGGAGAGAATTCTTCAACCCATCACAATCAGGTCTCCATGGCGACCATGTGTACTCCTAGTAATTTAAAAATGCATCACATACAACCAAAGAACAATCTAATTTTCTAGTCCTTAAGAATGTGATAAGTGGAAACTGTAAAAGTGAAATAGGGTGTGCCGTTTAAAGAGAACGTGCTGATTTCAGTATTGACCTGGAAATAATTCTCAAGATTGGAGAAAAATACAAAAACGGAAAAATGATCAGTTTTTCGAGACCCAACTACTGCGAGCAGATGTGGAATTTGGCTTTGTGCTGATTTTAACATTGACTCAGCTATAATTGCGACGAATGTGCAGAAAAAAATAAAACCTGGTTTTCTAGGCCCAAAGAATGTAACGCTGGAATTTTTGGCTGAGAGTGCAAGAAAGTGCTGATTTCGGCCTCGGCGCAGAGATAATTGGGAAAGTTGAATTCAAACCTGAATTTCTTCTCCCAAAGAAAGTGAGCTTATGTGGCATATAAAAGCTAAAATTTAAAGCCTAGTCTAAAGAAAGTGCCAATTTCAACCTAAAATTAATTTGGTAGATTATGAGGGGAGAGGTGGGGGGACACAAATCTGATTTGTAAGCAAACCTGCCATCTTTGCAACCTTTACTGTTGGAGCGTTGTGTTAAATGAGATGTCTTCTGGTACTGGGATGACTGTTGTGATTTTGTGGGTACAGATGGCTTTGGCTTCACCGCATATGATACGAGTACATGCAGCAAGGTGTGAAATGCCTCGTTCCGATGCCACTTCATAACACAAATGTCTGACGCCTTGTCATTCCAGTTCGCATAATGCTTGTTTTTCTACCGTGGTGACTCTCAAGTCTTTGTTGTTTTAATGCTGTAGTCAGTAAAAGCCTCGCGCTGGATTCAACATGCCACTCTTTGATTTCAGTTAAGTCTTGGAAAAAAATACTCTCACACATTCATAAAACTTTAAAGAGCGGCCCCGATAAATGTTTTATTTTCAAGTGGCTAATTGATGGCTCGCTGCAAATGCAACCTTCTGTCAGGATGCTCGCCATCTGTAAACTTAAATGTACTGTACTTCTTAATTAGTGATAGAGTGCCTGCCCACCCATCAAGTGTGAAATGAAACAGTCAAGTGAATCTTTTGTGGTCTGCCCGTTTTTGAAAATGTGCCTGTGGGAGATCCTAAATTCATCCTCATTGTGATGTCACATGCTAAACCTAGCGGTTAGCCTCCCAGATTCAAATCGAAGGCACGCGAAACAACACAACACACAAAGGCGACAAAAGGCTCCTGTATTTACTTCTCAGCATGTGCTTTTTGGTCATGATAAGAAATTACCTTTTTGCTGGAAAACCGAGAGTGGCGGCGGTTAGCACGTCTACCTCACAGTCCAAAAGTTCGTGGTTCAACTCAAGCTCTGGGTCCTCCTGTGTGGAAACATTCCGAAAACAAGGCTTGTCTCCAGCGTGTGCGTGTGCATGTGCATGTGCGTGTGTGTTTATATCGGTTAGCAATTATTGGTATCGGCCATGGAAAGCAGGAAATTAATTATTGGTTATCAGTCGAAAATGTTCATATGGTGTATCGCTAAGTCCTATCGGCCCCCCCGAGGGAAACTCACTCCAACGTGGCCTGCGACAAAAATGAATTTCGCACCGCTGTTCTACTTCATCTCGTTCCTCTTCCATTTCTTTTTCTAATGTCTTTTGGTAGTCGCCGATGGAAAGAAGCTGGCGGTAATACATAGTAAGTCCAAACGATGAGGGAACGGGGGTTTTTGGGTGCTAGGCTGAGTTTGAATTTTAATGTATACAAGTCACAGCTGAATGTAATGAAGACTGAGAATAACTGCTCCGTGTAATCTGAAAAATATGGCAAATGAACACAGTGAATATTACAGGATAGTATTGATAATATAAATGCTTCTATATGCTGTTGGTGTTTTGATTTGTTAGACGCCTGGGAACTATTCAAAATCCTAATATGTCTCCTTTCAAACCTTCCTCAACACCGCTTGATGTTTTCCAAAACTGTCCCTTCCGCGTCAGACACTCATATGAGAGTCCTTGCCTTTTACAGACTGTAATGATAAATCTACATGACATGATGTTCCTGTCTTGCCGAGAACCCTTGACACATGCACTCTTCAAATGTTTTTTTTTTTTTTTTGTATGTGTGTGCGCACAAGCCGTGCAGATGGTTCATCATATCACTCTGCACATCTCATTAGGTGGCCTGCTTGATAGCGCAGAGCTCTCAGTGCCAAGCGGCGTGGGCTCTAGCCCAGCGGGTAAGTCCTTCCCGAAGAGATTTATGCGCTCTCTGTAGCTCTGCCCACTGGACCTCCTGCTTAGCACTTGAGCTGGATGCTTGCGTTATCCATCTGTGATTGGTTCAAGACAATTCAACTCTTGATTTCGGGGAGGAGGGGCGGGGGAGTCTTTTTGCTTGGCTATATAGTCACCGCATAATCAGGGCCTACGTGATGTGCTTGTTGTACACACGCGTGACAGTTTGGACACGGTTAATAAATCTTGTATTTCCTTTAAAAACACTCCCACCTCCAGGCTGAATCCTCCCCCACCCCCCATGGTGTTTCCTTCGCTGTGTTGACAGGTGCATGTACCCTCACAGGCCTTATAAGGCTGGCCAAGGCCCATAAGATGCCCAGACCAGCATAACCCTGGAGGTATTCAGGCCATGATATCCCTCTTAAGTCCTCAGTACACAATGACCGGACAGCCTGTCATGGCTGCAATGTGCTGCGTGAGGGGCAGTGGCAGGTGGGCTTTTTAACTCTTTCCCTGCCACTCAGCTTGCCTGTCGCCAAAAGCGGCCATCGGCTTGTTTGTAGAAATAAGATTAGATAAGTGGACAAACGTAATGACACGTTAGTCACTGTTAAAATAATAATACAGTGCATGTGGTTCGGTGCATGTGCGCAGAGCCGATGCGGCTCTCCCCACCAAGATAATGAGATGAGTCGGGAGGGTAACGTGACAGCAACTATTGCACGCCTTTGAGGCTTCATTCTGCAGCCTGATTTTTAGCCTGTTCAAACTTCTTTTTTCCCAAGTCATAATACATAATTTTTTCCACTCGTCTTAATTTTTAACCTGCCCAACTTTCCAGATTTTACACTTGCCTTATTTTAACCGATGCAACTTTTTACGCGACTCTTATTTTAACATGGCCAACTTTGGGGGTTTTTATGGTAGTTTTATTTCAGTTTGTGCAATTTGGGGGATTTTTAAAGTTTTTTAAAAATACATTTGAATCTCCCCATCGTTTTTTTTTTTTTTTTAAATCATACAGCAAGTTTATTTTTAACCCGCAAAATTTGTGGGTTTTTACGGTAGCCTTATTTTATCTTGCGCAACTTTTCGGGAGTGGGGGGTTGGGGTGAAGTTGACAGTCATCCTGTTTAACCTGCCCAGTTTTAGACACAGTAAGGGGCTTTCACATTAGTCTTATTTTTTTTACCTGTATGGCTTTTTTTTATGGTTTTCCTCAATAACATAGTAACCGTTTTTATCTAACCGTGCCACTAATAGGCCAATCAGATGGTTTATTCAGAGCAGCTTTGCGAGAGGGTTTGTGCGAGGCAGGCGAGCGACGATGAGAGACCGGTTTATTTTCAAAATTATGATGCAACGATGAAGCCCTGCTGTAGGATTACAATGTCAACACTGTGTCGGTAAACGGCACCTTGGCTGCTTGCGCATGTTTTGCGCTGTGGTCAAAAGCGGGATTCAGCGACTTGCAGCTGTTGTTTGTACCAAGTGCCATCTCCCTCTGGCTTTACTGTCAGATGACCATTCCTGACATACAGTCGCTGTCCCGTTTCACAATTTGGAATACAGTATACCCGCTCTATTCACGAGGCAAAAGAACTGAGCCTTTCTCGATATTAATTATTCCAAACATGGCTGTAGTTTTAATGGCACATATTTTTAAAATTCCTAAAAATCTAACTGGCAGGCGCTGAACCCCTTCGAACCAGAGTCCCGTTCGAAATTAATACTCTCTAATATTACACCAATCACTACGTAATTTCCGATTAGCTCGTGCTTTGCCACCATTCTGTTGTATCTTGGGGCATCGTGGAAAGAGCACCAAACTATGCATGTAGTTGAGCAAATGACGGCATGTTGATTTTACAGGATACAGGTGAATTTGTGCATAGCGTAGCACAACTAGGAAGGGATTTACCGTATAACCGCAGCAAAAGCTGTGACCAGATGGCAGTTGTTGCGGTGCCAAATGGTCGTCTCTCCGTCTCACCATCAGTTCTTGTTTTTACTGGGACTAGTGTCCGCATTCAAGCAGCTTCCCTGTTTGGAGAAGTGGTGACTCATTTAATTACTGGGACATGCTTTTCTTCTAATACGGTGTCGTCTTGCGAGCCGTCGTGCGTAATGTCAGGGAACAAATATATTTCCCTCTCTTTTGTTCTCTAAATAGCCATCTGCCGCAGCTCCTGTCTAATTTTATATCAATACCCAGTGTGCCATTGAGTAAGAGAGCTCAACAATGTACACAATTACACCCTAAATTGCACCCTTGTTGTTTTCAAATGCAAGTTGCGGGGAATCAGCAGATGAAGAGCCTGTTTTGTTGTCCTGGTCTTGAAAAAGAGAAGTAGGGTGAACGGGAAACAAAAAGAGGTAAACAAACGCAACAGTCCTCGGCTTCCAGGGCAAAGACATAAGAAGAGATAAATAATACCAGGACTACAAAATGTTCAATTGGCCTTGACTGACCCCGGTTTATTTAAAAAAAAAAAAAAAGAATGAGGCAGGCATGGTGGGAAATGCTTACAGCTAGGAATTATTTTGCTTATTTAATAGTGGCCACACTTCAAACGTAGCATATTTATATCATATTTAATTGTCTGTGCTTTTGCTTTTTTGCCGCCGCTCACCAATCTGTGTATTTGGATAACGTTAAGATGGTATTCACGAGGTAAAATCTGATTTGTGCGTTTACCTTGCACCCGCATTGTCAAATGTCCGACACGTATTCACATATTTAGTCACAATTGGAAGAGACCTTATTCCCATCTGAACATACCCGATTCCGTGAGTTTTTATTTCCGTTCACGGTGCGATGACACTTCCAATCCCGATCCCAATTGTGCTACTTGAGAGCAAATCATCAGAATGATGTCACTCGAAACCGTAACGTGTTAACACAGCCTGTTTATGCTCGTAACATTCAAACTTGATTCTCGTGAATGTTGTGGGTTTTTCCTCCTCGTAAATTGAAAAAGCAGTATAATGACTTCATTTGTCTTTATTTTGGAAAATAACCACACACAAATTTAACTGTCAGCTTCGAATCAAGGAAACAAAATGTTTTCCTTTATTTTAATCATTATGGTAGTAATTACGCGTGCCTTCTTGTGCCACATAACCACATATTCTTACGCCACCCAGCAAACTACTTCAGGACCCGCTGTGATTGTTTAGCCGAACCTGACGCAGAAAAGATACCACCATAATATATGTCAATATATGTGTGGTTGAACAACAAAAAGGCCGAGGGTGCCGTGCTACTTATTTCTCGCTCATATTGAAATAAATGCCATTAATTCAAGAGCCGCTAATAACATGACGGTGAGTATCTCACTTTTCATCCACAACAACTGCACTGTGCACATAATAACTTAAAGGGATTGCACAGCGTAGCATTTATTTGCATATCATATAAGGAGTTTAAAGCCCTAAATAGAAACGAGAATAAAGAAATGTTTGGATATTACAACGCAAACAAAAGTTGGTCACAATTTAACGCAAAACAATTTAGGCCCTTTTCAATGAAAATAAAGAGCTTGTTGAGCGTTGCCCAGAAGAGAGGAGCACAACTGTGCCAAATGCAAATCACGGCCATCTGTCTGCATGACGAAGGTGTGTCTTTGCCGCTTTCAAGTACAACGCCAGCCCGTCCATGGCAACGTGAGAAATAATTTTCTGTTCAATGGTGGCTTCGGGTTATTCAAGTTGAAAAGGTAACACCCAACTTGTCCTACTCAAGACACCCCAAGATAGAATAAATGTTTTTTTTTCCCCAGTCATAGTCCAACAACTTTATTCTCGGGATATTGTACCTGTCATAGTTTTTAAACAAATTAGGAGTCATTTTCATTCAGACATCACTATTTGTAACAACATAAACACGTTTTTTTATACTATGACAAAAAGAATCAATTTATTGTGATTATAGTGCAGGGATAGGCAAGTTAAATGCCGGAGGGGGCCATCATTTTTCATTTGTGCTAATGGGGGCCAGCACAGATGTATGACAAAAATGCCATTTGCAAAATATGTTCTGTAAATATATATCTTTTTTTGAGAAGGCATTTTTCAATGCACGTATAAAGGATCCTCTATCCTAACCCAAAATGAAACGGTTTGAGGAAAGCAAACAACAAACCTCAAGTTCCAAGCCTAATTACTTCCATGAGCCCATAACCTGGAACGTTCAAAAATGAGGAAATGTGTCCCAATGAAATGAGTGGAAATGCAATTAATCCGTTCCAACCATAAAAATAAGTTATACTTCCCTTATTTATTTATTTATTTTTGCCAGTGCGTGGTTAAAATGATATATAATCTACAGAGAATAAGTGAAAATACACTCTTATAAAGACATTAAACACTTACAATTAACTAAATAATGATTTGTTGCTCATTAACTTTAACTGAGAAGGGGAAAATGAGAACGACTACAGCTCCTCCATTGGAAATTAAATTGCTACAACATCATCTTCAAAATGTTTGTTTTAGTTTTATTAATTTATTGGGTCCTTGTTCCCTTGCTCTGCAGCTGAATTGATATTACTTCCTGGACTACTACAGGACTTCAAAATTCAAAACAAAACAAAGCACCAGCAAAGTACCACATACTGTACATCACAAGCGTTGGTTTATTTACTGTAAAACATCAACGGTCTACCACAGCCCACCCCAGATACGATTCATATCTCGCATCACTCGTACTATTTTATTGTTGACAGTCCAGTAGTTGAATGGCCAAGTGTCTCAAGTAGCGCCGCTCATTGATTTGCCTTGAAATGCTTGTTTTCACCGCTCATCAAAAGCGTGGCCATTTATAGGGGCCGTCATCGACATGGCGGTTAAACACTGCAGTCAATTCTTACGTGATCAAAGTCCCAGCTGACAGCTGCTTGTGTACATACTGTTGATTCAGCTGTGAGATACCATTGTGGGCTTCATAACTGTTTATTTGAGCGGGAATTGTCACCAGGTCCTTATCGTAAGGCTATTGTTCCATTATGTTCCTAACGCAAAAGAGCCTCCCGGTCACACACACACACACATAGACACACACACACACACACTTGGACTTGCCGCACAAACAATAGAAGTCAAAAGTCAGCGACTTGGTGGAGTGTTACTGATCTGTTGATTCAGAGCCAGATACCATTCATTCTTTCTTCCCCCCTTAGTTTATGTCATAGTGTAGCTTTGCTCAGTGAATTTTGAGTCCCTATTTTTCTGAAATTATGGTCTAGAAATCACACTTTTTTTCACATTTTGACTGTTCCTGCAACTTATACTCAGGCACGACTTGCATACCGTATTTTCCGCACTAAAAGGCGCACCTAAAAGCCTTCCATTTTCTGAAAAGCTCACAGCGCGCCTTAAAATCCGATGCGCCTTGTGTGTGGTCATTACGGTAATATTTCGACCCCAAAATGGCTCCTTGCTCGAGACGTGCTGACAACGCAGAGTTCAAACTTAAGGCGATCGGTTACGCAGTTGAACACAGAAATAGAGCAGCGGCAAGAGAGTTCAACGTTCACGAGTCAATGTTATAACTTGCTGTTGGTTAAGTGAACTGCGTCGCTGCTTTATTAAATCGGTTTTACTGACATCTGATCGTTCTGTTGCCATTTCCTTGAGCATGGCTCCATCTAGTGGATGCATTATGGATTGCATATTATAATGCGGTGCGCCCAGTTTATGAAAAACATTACAAAATAGACCATTTATTGAAGGTGCACCTCATAATCCAGTGCGCCTTTTAGTGTGGAAAATACAGTATATTAAAATTAGAGTTCGGACTGCAACCCAAAATGAATGTTCCCAAATCGTGTTGACGGCAGCAAAAACTATCTGCTTCGAACGATGGAAAGGTTTTTTTCTTTTTAGTATAAAATAGCTTACCTGAACTCGATTCCCACGTTGCATTGGGGCCAAAGGTTGAATCATTGTCAGTTACCGTGTCGTTTAGAAGCAGACATTTTGAATCCAAATGAAATTTGTTTGTTGCCGTCAACCCTACGGGGACTTGAGTGTCAGTACAAGCTTCATGTTCTTAGTCTGGGTTTTTGGAAAATAAAGTGCCCCCCAAGAATGCCAGTGCAATCTGTTTTTCTTCATGATGATGCCGCACGCCTGGAAAACCATGCCAAAAATAACCAAAAACCTCATTTTTGGACTCTAAAACATGAACGTGATAGATGTAAATGCTTTTCCGATTTAAGATGGAACGACTGTGTTTTGGCAAGGGTAACTTGACAGTATATTACACTGGTAAATGTGTTCGAAGTGAATGTGTGAGCGTTAAAAGTGAGAGTCCAGCATGCGTGTGTTCATTGTCTTTTTCTTTTAATTGTTTTTATCCGGGCATAATGGTTTCAGCTATTTCTTTTAAGCGGTCACGGTACATTTGCCTGGAAACTGCCCCTTGTCTCCACACGCAAAAAGAAGCCACTTAATGTAATCATTCACACTAAAAAATAAAAGGCTCATCAATTTTGAAATGGACATTTTATTTTTGTAACTGTTCGGGATAATTATCCACGTCCATTAAAACTTCCCAGAGGGTTGAAAACACTCATCGCCGTGTGGATAAAAAACAAAAGCGAGCGGCGCGCTCGCTTTGATGACGGCAATGGTTGCCGGTTACGCTTTGTGCTTTTTGACGACGTGTCACTGTTGCTGTGTTGGGCTCTGCAGGGAACGGCTTCGCCAACCCCAGGGGCTCCCCGAGCCTCCTCTGTGCGCCCAGCGGCAATGGCCTGGGTAAAGTCATGCCCACCAAGTCGCCGCCGCCCCCCGGAGGGAGCATGGGAATGGGAGCCCGCAAGCCAGACCTGAGGGTTGTCATCCCTCCGTCAAGCAAAGGGATGATGCCCCCGCTGGTGAGTAGATGGACTCTTAATAGCACCACATGGACTCAAGTGTTGAGCTATTACAGCTGCTCTTACAAAGCCCCGAGACCTTCCTCTCAGTTTTTATCGTGAGTTTATAAAGTTCTTCCGCACTATCGGTCTGTTGCCACAGACCAATGGGTTCCCAGAACGTTGGAAGTCAAAATTTAAGACTCAACAACAGTGTCGGGGTTCGCACATTTGACCTTATTCTCCTTCGTTGTTGCATTTTTATGTGGTTTTGATGCTTTCAGTATGGTATGGTTTTCGCCATTTTTGCACTGCGGCATCTGGAGGTCTGTGATTTTATTGATTAACAGGTGTGTCGTGTGTCACGCTCTTTGTGTGTGTGTGTGTGTGTGTGTGTGTGTGTGTGTGTGTGTGTGTGTGTGTGTGTGTGTGTGTGTGTGTGTGTGTTGTATGAAATTGTCAGAGCTTTATGAGATGTTAACTGAACTATTTTTTTTAAAGAAAGATCCCCTCCCCACCCCGAGACGGCGTGCTGCTCGAGTGCTATAACGCTTAATCAGTTATTCACATTGAAACACCAGGCTTTGTATAATTCTGATAATGAAGATAAAGCGCACCTTGAACACCCGGGGCGACACTTGTTTTATTTTGGATTTAAACTTTCAGGTCCAAGTGCCCAATACCCCATTGAAAGTATGTATCTGATTTTATCTTTTGCCATATATGTTTCAAATGGCACAAGTCAAATATCTGGCTGTGTTTACATTCACATTACGAATGAAATGCTTCGGATGAACACGTTACATAATGCTCACTCAACGAGAAACCAAAAAAAATAAAAAAATATCTGAATCGTCACTTTCACCATAAAAAAAAAAAAAAAACTATCTGAATAGTCACTTTCACCAAGCCGTGTGAATCCCACCTAATACTCAAATCCACGCATTCATTTCAAAAATTATCCATTAGGGTTGGAGTTTAAAGTGACATTAGATTTCCTATTAGTCATACACATATTAGCGTTGCACTTCTGTGTTCCGTACTCGGGTGAGTCAGGTTGTGTTTTTTAAGAAGCAGGCTTAGTCGGTCGTGTCTGAGCCTTCCAGACCGCTCACAAGCCTTTCAGAGGTTGGCGGCTGTGGCAGGTCTGCAGACAGCCTGTCATTAGACCGTAATGGTATTAAATTAATCACATCTTGGCATGACAGAGTGTAGATGAAGACTTAATCAAGGGGCCCAGGGTGTGAGCCAGATAATATCTTGTCGCCCCTTGTCGCGTTTTATTCATGCTATTGATTGAGTGCCTGCATTAAGGCAGACTCGGCCCGGTCAAAGGAGAAATGGAAGTAGGCACAGTACAGTGAAAAGTAGAAGTAGCATTTCCTCAAATAGAGTTCAAAGGTGTCTATTTAGTCATCTTCAGAAAGTGCCTGGCACTGATTGGAAGATGTCTTATTTCAGAGGAGGTTTTAATTTCCATAAATGCTAGAAGGGTGTAGCGCAGTTGTGGGTGGAACTTTCTGTTCCCTACTTAAGTTTTCACACATCACTTAATGGAATCGATTCCAGTATCGCTGGCGCATTGGGTAACATAATTTCAGTTGACATCAACAGTTCTGAAACACATTTTCAAATCTGCTTGTTATTACTTGACGGCTTATATACACTTGATGATATGTTAGCATGAAATGTAAAGGGCCAATTTTTAAAGTGATTTGAATGAAGCATCTTCAAAGTTTCACCGCAAGGGGTATTATGAAGACGCCGTATTGTTATAAATGAGGGGTCACCAGCGTGGTACCTGTAGCCCCCACAAGCACCAAATCAGTAGCTCGCAGCTCCACTCTAAAAACGACTCATCTTTGATGGGACATTGTGGTTTTTGAATTTTTATTCATTTTATTTTATTTTAGGAATGCTGCAGATATCAACATTTGACAACTAGCTAACTAACACGAACAAATTTGTGGAATTAAAGCATTGCATATGATAGGTATGTTCCTTCATTTTTGATAAATCATTAGAATCATTGTTTTTACAAATGAACCTCATTATGATTACAAATAACATGAATAAAGCTGAGAAAATTTGTTTTTTCAGAAGTCTATAAATTGCTCTTTGAAGGCAGAAGCACCTATTTGAGAATTTCCACGACGGTAGCTAAAGCATAGCCGTGAAGGAATATTAGCCGGAACACTTGGTGTGCTCTGTAGTTGCAATCTGTGCTGTCGCTTGTCTTCTTTGTTGCGGGCCTCGAAAACAACTTTGCAACTTTTACACCCATCGCAAGCCATTCACACGTCGCACCGTTGTTATGGCCACACGTGTGAAGTCAAGGCGCATCACATCTGGCGCTTTTTGCTTCGCTTAGCGTCGCAACAGACAAAACGACCGCTGCCGCACTTTTGTCAATTGATGCGCCAAGTGGCTGATTGTGAGACATATGACCAGGAAAAAGAAAATCAGCCTCTGTGTTCGCTTAGTAGTCTGACATATTACTCCACATACCAGATCATATTTCCACACACAATCACCGGCGTCCTCCCGCAAGCAAAAAGTATGTCGTAGTACCAAGACTTTTAACTCACAGAAGACCTTTGAGGAATAATTTCCTCCCAAAATGCGATCAACGAGAATACCAAACGAGACAAGCATAGAGGCAATCAAATGTGGTTGCGCCACTGTTTTTTCAGCCTTTTAAGCCTCCTGTTATGTTTGTTTCTTTGGTACACCAAACATGTTTGTGGGTCGCTCTGGCACTGCATGGTTTGTCATAAATATTGAAAATAGTTATTTTAAAATTGCGGTGTAGTAAATACTTCGGAATCGGACATCTGTCTTTTCTGTCATTGTTAAGAACGGGTGAAAATGCTCAAAATCAAAGCGTGTGTACTCTGCATTAGTGCCATTGAGGAAAGAAGCCATTTTGTCATCGCCTGTTTCGGCTTTTTGGCTGGTGAAAATCGCCTCAGCCTGTTCACTTGGCTCCTCCGCATTCATGTCGGCCACTCCACGCTTGGACTTCTGTGCGCTTGTTTCTGTGTGCGCTTTTGTGTAGCATTTCCTGAACAACACTCTATTTTTATTTTTTTTTCATCAGGAAGATAAAGTGACACCATCACGAATGAGGTCATTGTGTCAGATACATGTTGAAGTCATCTGGCCTCAAGAGTGCTGGAACAATACGAGGAAGCTGTCAGCATGATGATGATGACGATGATAACATGATGGCAGTTGCACACATGTTTGTTACATTACGTTGGCCATTATGGCTGCTATTTATTCTTGCCGTATGGCTGCAGTATGCCCTGTTTGGTGCGGATTACGCAACACTGCATTAAAATACAGCCACGGTTGTATATTATTCTATCGATACCATTAAATACATAAGAGTCCCTTGGCTATTGCACTTCAACGCATGACATTTTAAACAAAAAAAGTGGAGTGACTATTTGCGTTGGATCAAGTCGGAGCTAAAACAGAGCAAACCAGAGATCGACAGCACCCCCGTGTGGTCGCAGATGTTCTTACATCAATTGAGATCCCTCCATGATCCGAGCTGCTAGTCCTCACGAGGGTCGTGGGACCCTATCCCAGCTGTCTTCAGCCAGCAGGCGGTGTGCTACTGCGCTACACTCTACTAATATTTTTGTTGTTTTTCTCTTTGCAGAACACCCAGAGGATAAGCAGCTCCCAGTCGACCCAGCCGCTGGCCACTCCAGTGGTATCTGTTACCACACCCAGCTTACCTCCACAAGGCCTGGTCTACTCAGGCATGCCCACCTCCTACAACCCTGCTGGTAAGCCTGCCCCCCCCCCCCTCGAAAGTCTCACTCTGACTTTGCTAGACGGCCTGTCTTTTGCCGTCACGACCAAGGCGTTTCTACTTGTGTTTGTTGTTTTTGCAGAGTATTCCCTGAGCAGTGCAGAGCTTTCCTCCCTGCAGGGTTTCAGCTCTCCCGGGCTCTCACTGGGCTCCATGTCAGCATGGCAACAGCATCAACTGGGCCAAGCGGCACTTAATTCTTTGGTGTGAGTAACACTCTACCCAACAAAGAAGACACGCTCGTCAGATGGCAGCATACAAAACAACACCGGCATTTGAGACTACTTCGGCATATTTATCGAGCAAAATTAGATAAAATCTCAAAATTCTATGAACAATGGCCATTCAAATTACAGAGTACAACTATTTTTTTGAAGGGGGGGGGTTGAAGAAAAAAAAACGGGCCAATTTCTTTGCGGGTTTTGGGGGGTTAGAATAAACTGCGACAACACTGTTTAAAAACAGAAGTACAAGTGACAAATTAAATTTTGTCATTTCATAGTAGTCCACCAGATAGTGCCATTTCCCCCCGAGTCAAAGCCTGCTGGAATATTGTCCACCTCCGACTCGTTCCTTCAAGTTGTATGTCCTGATTAAAAGTCCACAGTCATGGAAGTTCTAAACTCAATAATCAAGTGACCCACTTTGTGAGTTTTTCGCGTCACTGCTTGCGAGCATAATTTGAGTTTTGAGATAAGCGCCCGCTTGTGTTTACACTCTGAAGTGAATTTTAAAAAAACTGCAAACAAACTAGTAATTAAGGTGCTGTTATGCCCTCGCACGTGGGCAAGGAGAGCCAGAGTTGCCAATGCACTTTCAGACATGTATGACTCTTCTAAACACGTTTTGAAAGTTGACCGGTTCGCGTTGTTAACATGTTGCCCCTCCCAGCAGCGGCGGAGGGCACCTACCTCAAGGCTCCAACCTCTCCATCAGCACGAGCCAGAGCATCAACATTAAGTCGGAACCCATCTCGCCACCGCGAGAGCGCGTCACCCCCTCCGGCTTTCCACCCCAGCATCAGCCGCCGCCGCCGCACCCTCAACAGCAGCAGCAGCAGGGCCCCGGCCGGCAACAGGAGGGTCTGGGACGCTCACCCGCCGACAGCCTCAGCTCCTCCTGTAGCTCCTACGACGGCAGCGACCGCGAGGACCACCGGGCAGACTTCCACTCGCCCCTCGGCCTGGGCAGAGCGCCGGCGACCGGTGACAGGGAAAGCCCCTCGGTCAAGCGCCTGCGCATGGAATCCTGGGTGACATAGAACCGCCGGCAGGTGTGAAGCAGGCAAGCGCAAAGGGTCCTTCTAACGAATGATATCATAATTCAACAAGCCCGGGTTCAGTTTGTCAATGAAAGCAGGTACTGACTGTCAGACGGGAACAGAGAGGCGTTCGGAGACAAACACATTACAATAGATTGTTTGTAGCCATCTGACAATTATATTATGTAGTTGCTGTTGCGCTGTTGTGTTCGCAAACAATCAGAGCAGGCTGAGGGCCATGTTTTTTTTGTTTTGTTTTTGTTTTGTTTTTTTTTTGTTTTTTAGAATCGTGATGTAAACACACACATATGTCTTTATGTCAAGTGGCCTCTAATTTATTGATGTTGAGAATGTGGAGTGGAGGGAAAATATCAAATGAAGGAATCGGTTGCAAAAACAGCGTCGTGTCCACCACGTTGCTGATTAGGGGACATATTATGGGAAACGGACTTTTGAATTGCTTTAGCAGTAATCCCCCCTACGCCATTCGCAGAGCGGAGGCGCGGATCACTGAAAAAAGAAAACCTCAAATTTTTTTAGTGAGTAACCATATTAATAGTTTAAAATGTAAATATACTACGACTATGAAACTATGTTCCAAAACCTTTTCATGTCACTTCAAGCACATCGTAAAACATTACCCTTAAAAAGAAAAGGCTTAGAATGGATTTGGTTTAACAAAAAAAATAAATAAATACATATAGACATCTACATGCATGTGCATCAAAGACTCTCCGTAATTTACATCAACAACCCACCTTCCCGGCATTCAACGCTTACTGTTTCACATCAACATAGTTCAATGTTACCAATTCTAATTTAGACACCGGGCCTCTTCGGAAAGTCAAACATCCGAACCTTTAACCTGAAGCGTTGTGAAAATGCTCATCGGTTCAAGATGAAATGGAAAGCTTTTGTACACTCTGGGTTCAACAAGTAACCACTCTGTAAAGCTGTTCTTGCTTTGTGGCACAGTAGAAAGGGCCGGAATGAGAAGTGGCACATTTGCATAAAATAAGACGGCCCATTCAACCGAATGGGCCGTCTTATTTTACCTGTGTATCTGAACAAGTCAGATACACAGGTTCATGGTATTTTTCTGCCATCTAGTGAAGGAGAATTTAATTGCTCTGCCTGTCACGAGATGTCTCCAAAGATTTTTTTAAATATTTGGATTGATCCAATCAAGTGAAATTTCATAATAACCCCCCCACCCCCCTCTGGCTCTAATGTCACAACAAATGGATCCCGTGCCACAGCCTCGACTTGTCCCCCCCCCCTCAGCACACTCAGCATCGACATCCTAAGCAAATGAGGCACTCTTCGGAGGTGTCGCTGTGCATTGGCCGTGCGCTTCTCGCTTCACGCCGTTCCGTTAGACCTCCGTACACAACCCCCCCCGCGGTGATCTATGCAATTTTTAAGCTCACACGCCACACATGATCCACAGATAATATGATGTCAAAGCGCAAGGGGGACTCACAGGTAGACTGTTAGCCTCGTAAGTGCCACCGATGCATGAATTGATTTAATACACGGTTACATATACGCCCACGTAATGGTATAGTGGAACCTCCAAAGGTCAGCACAAGTCACAAAAAAAAAAGGCCAATGAAAAAGCAAAAGGCACCAGTGGGGAAAATGGAATGTGTCAGACTCCTTTTCATTGCTCTCTTTTTTTCAGTGTTGCCTATTTTTTTGTGTGACTATTCTCAGGCACCATTGTCATCCAAATTTTGCGGATCCTTTTACACACCTGGGTGATCAGCAATTTGTCACAACATTGATGGCAAATTAATTGACAAGTTATTTATATTTTGAAGCATATTCTTGTGACATTATTTTGTGAAAATTTCTAAATTTTCCACTTTTTTGGGGGCGGGGGGTGTTGGAGGTTCCATCGTATTCTTTAGATCAGGGATAGAGAATCTTCGCCATATAAATGTGAGTCATGCAGTTCTAAAATCAAAAGCATAGATGAGTTGAACTTTGCCGCCCCTGGATGGCGCACCCAGCAGTGCTTCTTTTTCTTTTTTTTTTTTACATTTTTTTATTTTCCATGCAAAGTACCAACTCAAAAAGATGAGATGGGGTTTATCCCAAAATATATATTTTTTAATATTTGAATCCACTGCACGATGGAGTTTGAAATATTAACACCACACTTACATATCGGAATTTTTTTTTAAACTTAAATAATAAATGCATTGTTCATAGAAGATGAATAAAAAAATGTACCCAAATAAATATTTAAAATCAAACAATATTTAAAGATGCAATGCAGATGTATTGAACTAAGTTAAATACAACTGAATTGTACTTGGGCCACTAGAGGGAGCCCACATACCACTCGTGACAGGTGTATGGACCACGCTTTGAAAGTGTAAGGCATTTTAGGCAAGTTTTGGACATGTTGAGCTCTCCCAAATGGCGATTCCAATGCCAACTGTCATTATACAAGACCCGAAAACCATTTTACCCAGAAATGCTCATAATGTATCATAAAATGCATTAAAGTGTAGTCAGTAGTTTCCATCTTTAAGCAGTACATAGCAGGCAAAACAAGCAATAACAAAGCTACTCCCGACATAACAGCACACGTCTTTTAGTACTTCATGCTGTTTTACTCTTATCAGGGAATTTTCTAGTATCGATATGCACATGTAGGAAATGCCTTATCCCAAAGAAATACGACACCACTCGGTAAAAAAAAAAAAAAAAAAAAAAAATTCCCACCTCAGATGAAGAAGAAAAAGCGCAAGGCCAATACACAGTGATGCACTCTTTTCCTCCCGACTGGATGACGAATGTGAAAGGAATCACACTTTGCTTTGCTTGCTGGCTTTTATATACCTATATAAATATATATTCAAAAAAAACAAAAAAACACAAGTGTGTGTGTTTGCTCAGTGTTTGTAGTCTCAATTAGTTGAGTTATTCAGTAAAAGAAGCTGTTTTCTCGGTTTGACTGCTCAAACCGTTTTGGCGGCACAAGCTGGACTTTGTTGCCAACAATGAAGTTAGTTGTTCTTTTTCCCCCCTCAAAAAAAAGAGAGAGAAAACAAATGTTAAGTTAAAGTGCGTTTTATTTTCATCCTTTTAATGAGGAAAAAAATATTCAAGTGAAGTTTTTATTGAGCAATTGAAATACTATGCTATTAGATATTTGTTGTACAAAATTTGTATTTTCAGAGAAGTACAAATATTGGCTTTTAATGTGTCATTTAGGTTATATCTTTCTCTTTCTGTGTATATACAGTACATATATATATAAAAAAAATGACAAAACGCTGACATGGCATTTGTTCTCTTGTTGTGAAGACACACACACACACACACACACACACACAAACACACACACACAGAGTAAACAAACTTGATTAAACATATCAGTGTATATTTCAGTCTGGATCATCTTCGACTTGCCCATTAAATGCAACTATTGGCTTTGAGCTTTATCATTGTGTGTACTCATGATAACTGCAACCGCTAGATCTTTTTATTTATTTATTTTTTAAATCCAACCACATTAATGTATTCACGTTAGTATTGTGTGCATAGTCAATAGCCCCATTGTAATACTTTTCCCCAAAGCTACAGGAGCATCTCGGTAAATGAGAATCATTTGCTCCAGTCGTGCAATTTAAAAAGTGACACTTGCCTGTAAAATATTCTGTAATCATTTGATGCGGTCAAAGAATTATTGGTTTGAGGAGCATCAAAATGTACTTGAGCTCAAAAAAACAAATTTAGTTACACTGTGTCCAATTCTGCTTTGTGAAACAGTGCCCATTTGTGTTTGACAGGAACTAATGCAAATTACAGCAAATGACAAATGAAAAGGTACTCTATGTAATCATGCTTTAAAACACTTAATTCCCAACATTTTCATACAATTGTTGATCTCGTATGAAATTGCTCTACCTGATGGTTTGACCCCTGGCCGCAGGCACTCCCTGTCACCGTGGTGTACTTCCAGTATTTGGCCTGCTAGTGGCGCTGTGACACCACAAATAATTTGCATCACTCTGGCCTGGTGGACTTAACTGACTACCTTCGGAAAAAACAATGAAACCGGCAAGGTAAAAGGTTATTCTTGTAATTCTGCCACCCGGCATGCAAGTGGCGCTGTGCCACCATGAATAATTCGTTTAATTTTTACCCCTGAATTTATGACGTCGAAGAAGATAGGTAACAACCTGTCGCAAATGGTAAAACGAAACCGAAAGCGTCCTTCCGCATCTTTTAATTTCCATCGAAATGTTGGAAGTACGAAAAGTATTTTTCCTGAACAGCAGCAGATACCGTTCGACCACATTTCCCCATTAATGAGTAATATGAAGCAGAAGACACTGACCAGGTAATTAAACAATTTGGCCATTTTCAATGTCCAGTGTTGTCCACTGCTCACGTGCAGTGGTGAGCTCGTCTGCATCGCACTTGTTTTGTGATGTAAGATGCGTGGATGTAGCATGTTCTTATCGTGCTTGCGAGGACTTTTTCCAGGTGCTCAACTTATTCCTCTCCTCCAACATTAAGGAAAAAAAATGTTCGGTTCGGTGAAGACTCAAAATTGTCCATAGGTGTTTTAAGTGCGTGTGAATCCTTGTTTATCTGTATGTATCGCGCAGTAAAGTCAGAACAAAAGGGGGGGGGAAAAAACAATCGAACCTCTTTATTTTAGTAGTCGTAAAATTTCATATTTAAATCGTCATTGATGTTGGCAAAGTAGAATTAGTTGTCACAGTTTCAATCCGTTAATAGAAATAACTTTGGGGACAAGCATCATCCAAAATGGTTTATAGGTGTCGTTCTTTTCAAAACTGGAAACAAATTGACCATTCAGTTTCAGCTTCAACCTGGCACCAAAACTTCACAATGATGCTGTTCCTGCAGTTATGCATCTATAATTATTTCAACATGAGAGTACAAAGCGGAGAAGAAAAAAAAAGGCGGGGGGGGGGTAGATCCCTTGTGTATTTGGCATTTTAGATATTCTATTTCGTGCTATAAGGTGCGTGGTTGTGGCTCGCCGTCCCTCGACCAGCTGTGCAGCAGGCAGGAACTGGTCCAGTGTGCATGTGTAGAGTAACCAAAGGGGCTTTGGGCCTTGTTTGAGTTGCGCGAGAAGGGGCTACAGGCCACCTGCCGGAGGGGCTTGCCCTGTTCCAATCCTCCCAAATCCCGCCTTTCAACCGGGAGCCAAGCTGGGGTTCTTTCGTGTGGGCCTGATCCACCGTTAAGACCTGGGCAAATATTGAACAAGCTTGGGCCCAGACTCAAAACGCATCTGTTGTCATACAGTCTCCACTCTACTGCCGGCATAGAATGGGGAGAGACACAGTTGAACACCCACCGGGTCTTTTCGTATTCACTTTTTGTGTGGATGGGGAAAGACATAGTTTATACTTTGCAAACGCAAATGATGAGTAAACAAACATGGGGCGAGGAGGCTGTGAGGTAGTAGAGATGCAGTTTGGAAGACCTGAAATGACAGAGAGATTGCCAATATTTCATATGGCGCCGTCTTGTTGCTCGATCCGTGCGGCGGGATTTTTGGGATAATCAGGAAGTGAGGGTTTCACTGATAAAGCAGGAGCGACGCAAACAAAAGCCAGGCTGAATTTGAGCATTTTTCTCGCCTTTACTCAAATATGATCGTGACCAATCATCACTTAAATCAGACATCCCTGCATGAAAAAGTGGCCACTTTTTTTTTTAGGAAGAAAAAGTGTATTCTTTAATAATATAGTCTTATGTTTTAGGAATACAGACGTCATTTCCGCATTAAAAGGCACATTTTTAATTTCACGACAAAGTTGTTTGAAATTCACCTGTGAAAATGTCACTTTCTTACCCTGTTACACCTCAACATTGATCTCAATACTGTGACAGTGTTGACAAAATATAGCTCCCCTCATAAAATTGAACATGCTTCTTTATTCTTATTTCAATACAATTAATAAAAAATAATAATAATAAAATCCCTAAAAATGGGAGTTTATTCCAGTGACATTTACAAGTCACCATTTTATGATACATTTGTGGGACGGTAGATTGACACTGTTGTACAATTAGTACACTGATGATTTTACATTCTAGCAACGTGTCGTTTCTTCAGTGTAGTCCCGTGAGAAGAAATCATGAAATAATTACAAAAATCTGATGGGTGTACACACCTCTGTGAGATGACGTATCAGGGCCCTGGATGCTCAGCACATGGCTAACTCCACAACAACAAAAAAATCTTTTCTTGAATTTAATATAGTTAAGAACGTTAAAATGTTCGTAGAAACGTTGTCGGAACAGTGAATAAACGTGTTAGCGTGTTTGATTCGGGGTGTGTATGTTTGTATTTCCGCAAGGTCCTGTCGGATTGCAACGGTCGACCTCACTCCCTACGTGGATTTTATGGCAGCATTTAAGAAATCGTTTCATCTCACCTCGTACACCTTGGGGAGGCTTTTTTTTTTTTTTTTTTTATCGGCTAACCCCTGATTTTTACCATCGTTT